GGTGAGCAGAGAGGGGGTGCCAGGCAGGAGGAGAGGCCCCACCAATAGGCACTTCCTGACATTCTGTGCGTGCAGGAGGAAAAGGCACTCCTGCCAGCCTCAAGGCGACGGCCAGAGTCAAAGCGGGTAGGCGGGTGCAGGCAGGCAAGCTGCCTGGCCACCCACAACGGACGCCTCCCTGAAACCTGAACCACTTCTGGGAAAACTCAAGGACGCCAGGATTCTTCTTGGTGGCAAGCAATATACCCAATTTACTAATTTGAGCCAAATTCTCACACACTGTACAGGTTTATCTGGGCAGGAACCTCCTAGGTTTTGAGAAGAATCAAACCTCCAATGCTGCCTGAATCCTAGGGAATAAAGATGAAGGTACAACCATTAATCCCACTTCTCCCAGCTGTCTGTCTCATTAGAAACTAGAGAACATTCTAGACCACTGGTCCTCAACCTGAGAATGATTTTGTCCTCATCTCCACCAGAGAAAATTAGCAATATCTACAACCATTTTTTAAATTTATTTTTTAGTTGTAGTTGGACAATACCTTTATTTTATTCATTTATTTTTATGTGGTGCTGAGGATCGAACCCAGGGTCTTGCACGTGCGAGGCAAGCACTCTACTGCTGAGCCACAACTCCAGCTCTACAATCATTTTTGATTGTCTCCATGAGAAATAAGCTACTAGAATTTATGGGCAAAGGCCAGGGTATTGTGCTAAACAACCACAGTCCACAGGATAGCACCCCCACCACCATCACCCCCACACACAACAAAGAATCAAGTCTGGAATGTCAGTAGTATCTAAGATTGAGAAATTCTATTTGATAAAGAGATCCATGCAACCAGGACCCTGCCTCAGGGTTCTCTATCCATTCACTCTCAAAGGTATTAACCAGACCTGCTCCTACACCTTCACTTTGAGATCCTATTCCATGGTGATTGGTCAGTATCTTCAAGTGGTTCTAAACTCCTGACTCAATGCCCCTTTTATTTCCCAATGGCACTACTTTGATCTCCCAAGCAGAGTGCTAAATGCACAGGCAATCAGAGGAGTGGCTTCCTGGTAGAAGAGGAAAAGAAAGGGGAAGGAATCTGAACATCAGGCAATTACAAGAAGCAGAAGTAAAGGAGCTATCCAGTAGCCAGAATAGGGCAAGTAGAGTCAGCAAGGCAGGAACAGGCTCAATGTACACCCATATCCAAGGACCATTTGCCCTTTAGGAGGATAGTTATATGCAGGGCAACCAGAATTTTGAGCCCAATCAAGGTGCAAAAGAGTGTGCACATACAATATGCATATGCACACAGAGATACACATGCACACACATAGGTATTTTCCTGGGGGAAGAGCAATAGTTTATTAGATTAGATTCTCTGGGACAAAAAGGACCATGTTATAGGATGGGTCTTCTTTGCTGGGTTCCCTGCAAAGGGAGTTCCCTAGGTGAAGTGCTAAGGCTGGTTCAGGGACTTTGGGGAATTCTGAATGCCCACAAAAACCTGCAGAAGAGTACACTAAAGAAGCTAGCTTATCAAAGAAAGGTCATGTTTTCTGTTTCCACCCAGCTGCAGGATCTGAGAGAGTGGGCAAGTGTCTCACATCATCTAAGGGACTCTAAGAAGCTGAGGAGGGTACCACTCCTCCCAAAGAGCAACCCAGACAGTCTGGAATGCAAAGCAGGCAGAACAGGTACCAGAGGACATCCCTCCTAGGGGAGAGGTACCCATAGCCCATGGCTCATAGCTCTATAGCCTACATCTTTGTCCATGACTACACTGGACCACAGAGCTGAAGATCACTTCACTCACTCAAGATAATGGATAAGAAACACTTCTGTGTCAGAAAGTGGTCAGCCTATGAGAATGGCTCCTGACACTCAGCTCAGGATAGTGTTCCACCCCACCCCAAAAGGCCCTCTGATCTAAACTCCAAGTACAGAAGAAGATATCAGGAGTTCTTGTAGGATACAGAGAATCTAGGATGTCCACTGCAATGCAAGAGTCAAATGGCTTGGATACTGGGCAAGGTACAGATCACAAAAGACTTACAGAACTGATCTCTGATTACAGAAAAAATTCTGCCTTTTCTTTTAAGCCTGTGCTATTCAATATGATAACCACTAGCTAATGACTACACAGTACTTGAAATGTGGAAAGTCAGAAATGAGACGATCTATAAGTGTAAGATGCACACTAGATTTTAAAAACAGTAAAAAAAAAAACTCATTAACTTTAAATGTTGAAATTATTCTACATATTAAATAAAATATACTGTTAAAGTTAATTCTTCCTCATTATGAAAAAGAATATTTGTGTCCACCCAAAATTCATATTCAAGTGCTAACCCCAATGTAACAGTATTTGGAGATGGGGCCTTTGGGAGGAATTAGGTTAGATTAAACCATAAGGGTGCGGCCCTTATGGTGAGATTAGTACCCTAAAAGGAAGTGACCTCTCACCCGTTCTGTCATGAGAATGCAGTGAGGTGGTAGCTGTCTGCAAGCAAGGAAGAGAGTCTTCACCAAAACCCAACCATGCCAGCATACTGGTCTGACTTCCAGCCTCCAAAACCACAAGAAAATAAACTACTGTTGTTTAAGCCACCCAGTCTATGGCATTTTGTTAGGGCAACCAGAGCAGATTAAGATATGGTTATTAACACAACTACTAGAAAATTTTAATTTAAATATATGGTTCAACCTATTTTTCTGTTAGACAGCACTATTATAGATCTTCCTTCTACCAGGGCACTGTGTGATGCAGAAGGTGGGCATAATTAAAAACAACAAGCCAGGACTATGAAGGAAAGACCACCTTGAAACCAAAGGTACAGGAAGCCAGCTCTGCCCCAACTTGGACCTAGTGCAGGGCACTGGTCAAAGGACTGGCTGGTGTAACCACAAGAAAAAAACAGTGACTCTACCTTCCTCCCAGGGTAAGAACACAGATCCTTGGAGTCTTACTCCACCTCCCAGCTAGTAGGGTATGCTGCTGCACAAGGCCCAAGAGGAAGGAAATACATCCCAGGGATCAATCCCACTCTGCCCTGCTTAATGAAGGAGGTGAGACTGGTGAGACTGACAAACTATGGGGAGGGTGGTCTTCAGATCCCAGATCTTTTGTCCTGAGAGGAGGACTAGACTTAGAAAAGCCCAGGCTGAGCCAGATGTGGAGGCTGAGGCAGGAGGATCTCAAGTTCAAAGCCAGATTTAGCAACTTAGCAAGACCCTGTCTCAAAATAAAAAAGGGCTGAGGTGCTTGCCTCGCATGCACAAGACCCTGGGTTCAATCCTCAGCACCACAAAAAAAAAAAAAAAAAGAAAGAAAGAAAAAGGGCTGAGAGTAGGTATTTAAGCCCCTCTGGGTTCAATTCCTGGTACAAAAGAAAAAAAAAAAAAAAAGCCTAAACTGGTCCAGGAGTCCACGAGGTCTGGGCAGCAGCCAGGTGGGCTGCTGAGTTGCTGAGTATACTTAAGTTGGCCTGTTGCTGCCCTTCCCTTGGCAAGCCAATGCCTTCTCTTTCACTTTGAAGTCCTCCTTCTTGGGGGAAAAGTATCTCAAAAGCAGCACATAAGAGAGGGGGAAAGAGAGAAATAAAATGTTCAACATGAGCACTGCTTTGCCTCAGCCACACTGGAAGTGGCTTCAAGGGAGCCGGGATGCAGCTTCCCACAAGGTGCCTAGGTACCAGAAGTGGTCTTTGCGGGTCCTTGCACTCGGGTTCCAAGGCTCGCAGGACCACGTGGGAATTCTCTTGTTGTTGGCATTAACAACTAAGCCTCAATACCTTGCAAAGAAAAAAGGAGAAGAGTGAGGATGCGGTTCTGGATTGTCCACACCATCCCCACTCTCACCCAGATTCCCATTCCCGCAGCAGCGCGGGGATCCCAGCCCATCCCCTGCAAGCCTGGCCCCGCCCCTCGCGGATTTCCCAGACTTCGCACTGCTGCCACCACGGCAGCAGGGGACCCGCGCTGCATGTGTAATGGGGGCTGGGAACAAAGACGCGCAGGACCCACCGCCCTGGCCGCCAGGCACCAGCGGCCCCCTCCTCCCAGAGCTTTTCGCCCGATCCTCAATGTCCGGCTCTCAGCGTTTCCCAGCACTGCCCGAGCCTGGCCGGCGCGCCCACAGGCTTGGGCACACACACCCCAACACCACTGAGAGGGAAATCGGTGCTTCGGATTTGGGGGAAAGCGCTTTCCCGGCAAAACTCCGCAAGAATACACCTGAACCCACACATCCCAGGCCAAACGCGAGCAAATCGAACACTCCTAACCACACGACCGCGGCCGAGCTGCGTGCGGGTCACCCATGCCTGCCACGTGCCTCGGGGAGGCCCGAAAGAACAGATACCTGTTGTTTTTTCCTTCTTGCCCACCCCCACCTTCCCCTCCCAGGTGCCCCAAACAAAGCAGTACCACGAAGTGACCGTACTCCGCATTTGAGGCTCAGAGCGAGGAAAGCGGGAGCAGGTGGGAGCCAGTGCCAACTGCCAGCCGTGCGAGGAAGGCAAGGGAGACTGGAGGGGCTCTGGGCTGTGTGAAGCCGCCTCCTTCACTCCACAACACCTAGTGGCTCGAGGGACGCGCAACCCTCCCCCGGCCGCTACTGCATCTACAAACACGCCGCCCCCCGATTAGATCTGCCCGCCCCGCTTGGCTGCCTTCCCCACGCTCAGGTTTTCCTCACTCTCTCCCTGGGTTCCACGCGCCCACGTAGCCTGAACCCCAACCCTGACGCTCCGGGTCCTGGCCCCCATCGCCGGGCCGCCTCCGTGAACGAGAATCCCGCAGACGACAGCACGGACAAGATCTTCCCCAAGACCTTGGAGGCGGGCGCCCGGCGCGCCCCCACTCCCCACCCTGAGAGGTGCAGGCTGGGGGCAGGTGGCGCGACTGCGAGGCCGCGGGCCCGCCCTTTGTTGGTAAACAGCGCGCGGCGCCCGATGCCGGCCCCGCGCGCCCTCCCCGCGCCCCCCACGCCGCTCCCCGTCCTTACCCGCGCACAGCGATCCCCAGAGGAGGGCGAGGGCCGCCCAGGGCGCCGTCATGTTCCGCGGCGCCGCCCCGCGGACACCCGGAGCCCGCGGGCAGGGCCGCGCGGCGCTCCCGGGGCGCGCAGGGCCCGGCGGCGGCTGCGCTCTCCTTCCCGCTCCTTCTTTCGGTCTTGTTCCCCGCGCGCTTCCTGCGCCTTCGTCCACGGACAGCGTGCGGGCTCGGGCTCAGAGACGCTGCGGGAGGCGCAGACTGCGGCCCGGGCTTCGGGGCGACGCGGGGGCCGGGGGACGGCGGCGGGGCACGGGCCGGGGCGCGCCCGACTCAGGCATAGCGCAGCGGGGCTGGGCCCGGGCCCCGGGCGCAGGGGCCGAGTCCGGAGGGGCCATGAACGGGGGGAGGGGTTGGGGGAGGGGAGCTGAACCGAGTCCAAAATGGCTCCTGAGCGGCGGCCACGGAGCCGAGCCAGCGGGGAAACCCGGATGTTGGGTACAAAGAGGCGGGCGAGCTGGGCGGGGAGGGGGAGGGGAGGCGGGCCCTCTGGCCGCGTGGTCCGCGCCCCCCTCGGGGGCGGGGCCCCAGAGAAACAACAACATCAAGGCCCCGCCCAGCAGCCCGCTACCCCTAGGAGGACGCCTGTGCAACCAACCCGCTGGAAGGCCAGGCAAGGCATTGGTTTGGAGGTGGCGGGATTGGAAGGTGAACTACCACTCCGTTCTGCGGACTCTGGAACTCTGGTGGACCCAGCGTCCACCCCATCTAGGATTCCTGCCCTGGTCCCTCGAGCCCAAGCTCCCCAATGCCTGCCCCAGCCTGAACTCCTCTGTCTTCCAATTCCGCATGAGTAGTGGGCGAGGCATCTTTATTGATTGGCGGATTAATTGGCGGAAAAAGGCTGGTTTCTTGGAATTGATAAGTGGTCCTCCAAGCCACAAACACAAAGGCACAGCGGGGGATCCTGGGGACTGATGATTCGTACCCATCCAAGGGAGAACAGAGCTCCGCCACAGAGAGCATCCACAGGTGCAAAGGGGCGACTGGTTTCCAGTGGTCCTCAGTACCTCCCCCTCTTTAAGTCTGTACCTTGAAAACTATTCTCATTTACCTCCAAACCCCTACATTTGATCTTGTCTAGCAAATGTCTGTGCTTTCCTCGCCCCCAGGTTCCTCCTTGGGGATCACAGTTCCCAGTCTCAGATTCCACACTCTTTATTACACAAGCGGAACTTGTGAAGGTCGTGATGGAAAGAAAGCCCAGCTCAGGGATGAGTCTGTAAAAACCCTCAGATACAGTAATCGTCCTCCAGTTTCTGTTGTCATAAGCCTGCTTGGTGCAGGGCAAAAGTATCCTGGAGAGAGGTGGCGCCCAAATGTCTAAATCAGATTTATGGTTTGTTTTGTTTGCCCTTTTTTGGTATTGAGGATTGAACCCAGGGCGTTGCATAAGCTAAGCTCCCGTCCACTACTGAGTTTCACTTACTGCCTGACTTTCCATTTTTGAATAGCAGAAACCAATTCAAAAGCCATGTAAAAGTCCATCATGTAGGGTCTGGCAAGAGTGGAGCACGCCTTTGGGAGGCTGAGGCAGGGGGATTGCAAATTTAAGGGCAGCCTGGTCTTTGATTGAGCCCAAGCTGGGTTACTTAACCAGACCCTGTGTTAAAAAGGGCTAAGAATGTAACTCAGTAGTAGAGTGCCCCTGGGTTCAATCCGCGAACCACTCCCAAAATAAAGTCCATCATGTAGAATGTACATTGCCCTGATTGAAGTTGAAATGGGGATCACCACCTCCAGTCTCCAAAGCACCAGAAACACCACAATATTTTGGAGTCGCTACCCAGAAAAATTTCTAAGGGCCCTTTGTAAATTCTAGAAAATCCTATGTAACTCCTCCTTGCCACAACCCCTACAGGTGACTCATTATGTAGGACCTTTTCTACAACATTGGATGCTACTGAGTTCCAAGCAAGAAACAGTGTTGTATGTAAACATACCTTGACTATGTTTAATATAGTATTTGGTAATCCCACAGAAGGCCCCTGTGATGGACCCACCGTGATAAGGAAGGCGAGTCCATATCCAGCATGAGTGTCTTTTCTAGGGAAGAAAAATCATTGCCTCCTATATACTGGAAGCAACCAAGTAAAATTCATGTGTCAAAATCGAGATCAGCTGGTTTTGCTCTTCTATTCCACACCAGGTCACTTATAACAGTAAGGACTCGGGGTGGTCCAAGTTGGCCTGCACATCTGTATCTTCCACCCTAAACTTTGTAGAATCTCTGAATTTGTATATCCAACTGCCTCTTTGACAAAAATATATTTTGTCAGCCTCTTAGGCATCTTGAGCTTGACCTAGACAGAGCAAAATTCTTCATTTCCCCCATAAACCTACTGTGCCCCCATCTATCCCTGTTTAAATCAATGGTATAAATAATTACTCAAATCAAAACTTTATGACTAGCCAGGCATGGTGGCACATGCCCATAATCCCAGCTACTGGGAAGGCTGAGGCAAGAGAATCATAAGTTTAAAACTAGCCTGAGCATCGTAGTGAGACCATGTCTCAAAATAAAAGATAATAAAAAAAAAAATGGAGCATGTTGCTCTGTGGTAAAGCACCCCTGGGTTCAATCCCCAGTACTAAAAAAAGAACTTATGAGTAGCTTAGTATAGTGGTACACACCTGTAATCCCTGTAACTCTGGAGGCTGAGGCAGGAGGATCACACGTTCAAGGCCAGCCTGGACAAATTAACAAGATTCTATTGAAGTAAAAAGGGCTAGGGACCGACCATACATGTATGATTTTGTTGGGATAAACCCAACTAATTTGTATAACTAATGCTCTGATAAAAAAAAAGGCGTGGTTGGGGGGTGAAACAGTGATAGAGCACTTGCCTAGCACACATGAGGCTCTGGGTTCAATTGTTAGTATCTCACACACACACACACACACACACACACACATCATGAGTCTTTTTTTTTTAACAGTACCAGCATCACACCCAGATTCTAGCATGTTCTAAGCAAACATTCTACCACTGACCTACACCCCCAGCTATAAGTTGTTCTTGATTTGTCCTGTATCCAGTTCCTAGCAAGTTGGCCTTAAGAACATGGCCATCATCTTGCCCCTTTTTCCATATACTGTGTACTACCCTCACCCAACATCTCATATCAGGACCTCTTTGATAACAGTGAACTGGAAAAGATCTTAATTGGTCACCTGCTTTCATTCTTGCCTAGCTATAATAAATCTTCTGAACAGCAACTGAAGTAAATGGGTTTGTTGTTGTTGTTGTTCTGGGACTAAACCCAGTTGCACTTTCACCACCTTATTACATCCCCAGTACTTTTTATTTTTATTTTTTTTTTATTTTGAGACAGGCTCTCTCCAAATTGCTTAGGGCCTCACTAAATTGCTGAGATTGACTTCAGATTTGAAATCCTCCTGCCTCAGCCTCCTGGGTTGCTGGGATTACAGGTATTTGCCATTGTGTCTGGCAAATTTTTTAGAAATGGAACTCACATTACGTTACAATAGTATCCCTCTTATCTGTGGTTTCTCTTCCACAAGGTTTTAGCTACCTATGGTCTATCAAGTTCTGAAAATATTCAATGGAAAATTCCATAAATAAATAATTCATAACTTCCAATTTCATCCATCTGACTATCCTGATGAAATCTTTCACCATCCCACTCTGTCCCACCTGGGACATGAATTATTCCTTTATCCAGCGTATCCACACTGTTTGTTACCCATTTAATTGCTGACTTGTATTTTAGATCAATTGTCATGGTATCACAGTGTTTGTGTTCCAGTAACCCTTATTTCACTTAATAATAACCCCAACACACAAGAGTAATGATGTTGGAAGTTCAGATGTACCAAAGAGAAAACATAAAGTGCTTCCTTTAAGTAAAAAAAGATGAATGTTCTCAATAAGAAAAAAAATACATAGAAGGAAAAAAAATTACATGGAGAGGTTGCTAAGATATAAGAACAAATCTTACAGTGAAATTATAAGGAAGGAAAAATTTATTCTAGTTTTGCTAACACATCTCAAATTGCAGAAGTTGTGGCCACAATGTGTGTAAATGCTAAGTTAAGATGAAAAAGGCATTAAGTTATAGAGTTTGGTACTATCCACTGGGGTCGTGGAATGTATCCCCTTTCATAAGGGAGGACTAATGTACTGTAAATTAAAAGCATCTTTAATGATAAATGCATGTTTATAGCAACACAATTCACAACAGCCAAACTATGGAACCAGCCTAGGTGTCCCTCAATAGATGAATGGTATTTTAGTTAGCTTTTTCACTGCTATAACCAAAAGAACTGACAAGAACAATTGTAGAAGAAGAAGAAAAACTTTATTTGGGGGCTCATAGTTTCAGAGGTCTCAGTCCATAGAAGACTGCTTCATTCCCCAGGGTTCAAGGTGAGACAGAACATTATGGCAGAAGAGTGTGGTAGAGGAAAGCAGCCCACACAATGATCAGAAAGCAGAGCAACTAAGCTCAATTTACCAAATATATGCTCCAAAGGCACACACCCAGGGACCCACCTCCTCCGGCTACACCCTACCAGCCTGTAGTTACCATTCAGTTAATCCCTGTCAGGGATTAATTCACTGATTAGGTTATACCTCAAGTAACCTAATCATTTCACCACTGAAGGTTCTCATGTTATCTCACACATGAGTTTTTGGGGGGGACACCTATTAACTAAATCATAACAAATGGATAAAGAAAATATTGTATGTATAAACAATGGAGTTTTATTCAGCCATAAAGAAATTGTTATTTGCAGGAAAATGGATGGAATTTGAGACCATTACGTTAAGTGAAATAAGCCAAACTCAGAAGGTCAAGGGTCAGTAGGTTTTCTCTCATATGTAGAAACTAGAGAGGAAAAGAAAAGACAGGTGTGGGGGAGGGGGTTGATCTCATGAAAAGCAAAGGGAGATCAACAGCAGAGAGGAAAGGGACCAGAGTGGGAGAAAAGGAAGGAGGGAGAAAGTGTAGGGGAGTGATAATGGCCTAATTATATGGTTCTAGTGTGTGTGTGTGTGTGTTTGTGTGTGTGTGTGTATGAATATGTAACAACAAATACCACCATTGTGTACAACTATAATGCACCAATTTTAAAATGTAGGGGAAAAAGTTCTGCCAGTAAGGCATTCTGTATGGGAGGACCTGGTCTTTTCCTTCCTCAACAATCAAGATCAGAAACCAAGGAATTAGAAACAACTGAGCATGGCAACCTTCACTGTCAAGTTAATGGAAGAAGCAGAACACTATACCTTAGAATAAGACTTGGTATCTGTGTAATCATAATGCAGTCTATGGTGGGATTAAA